CTGCCCCCATGAATGACGCAGCCGAGTAGGGGCAGGGCAGGGGCCTGCTGAGTCTTTGCTGTCACCTCTTGTATGCTGGGGCAGTAAGAGCAGAGAGAGGCCCCCGGAGGGTCTGCGCTTTGTCCCTCGTCATGGTTGGTAAGCTGGAGGAGGCGAGGTCACCTAACAGTGGCCCGCCCTACCTGCTGTGGCTTCTCCATTTTGCACATTATTGGCTGACTTCTTTCACTGTCCCCTCCCACTTACGTATCCAGCCCCTTTTCACATGAAGTCTTGCGTGCCTTTAGCGAATCTCCACTAGTACTAACATCATAAGACCCCATTGAGACGAGTGAACACCAGCTGTGGGGGCTACTGTGGACAAGGACATTGGAAGATGAAGCCCAAGCAGATAGGCCAGTGAGGGGTGCTGTTCACTGGGATGGCGTGTGAGGCGTTCTTTGCACTGCGGGAGGTGGCATGCTGCAGCTGAGGTGCCAGTGAAATCAGCTTGCCCGCGGCAGCAGAGACAGGCAGTGACCTGTACCGGGGCCCACCGGGGCTTGCAAGGCAGGGCTGCCTGCTGGTCGGGAGCCTGGGCGGGGAGTCGGGCCGACCTGGGCTTGAACCCTGCTCCACAGGGATGGTGGTGGAGATAAAACAAGATAATGCCTGTAAAGCGACTAGCCTGGAGGAGAATGGTGCTAATAAATGGAGGCTCTGATTATTATTATTTAGTATTTGTCAAGCTGTTAATCCAGTTGCCAGTAACTGAAATGCTTCCAAGAGTTTGGATTAATTTAGCTAGACTGAGTTCAACCCAGGAGAGAGAGAAGGGGTCTCCGTGGTGACTGTCACCAGCTCCTTGACAAAAGGAGCAATTGCACAGAGCAACCAGTCTGGTCTCCAGCCTTCAGAAAAATGTGAATTAAAGGCACACATGAAGTAGCACATTAGTCCTTTCTCAGCAGCAGCCTGGGTGCCAAAGACAGGCGGGGCCTGATGACCATCCCCTCACACCACGCGCACCGCCGGCACTGGGCAAGAGTCAGAGCCACGGCCACATGCAGGCACAGGAGTCTCGGAGGGTCTGTATCCTGGGCCAGGGCCGTAAACTGGAAACCCACAGGCCACATCCAGTCTGCAAACGCTCTTTGTTTAGTTTTGTCCTGCCCGTTTGTATTTTTGTTGCCTACATTTAAAAACTGGGAAATTTCATGTGCAGATCTCATATTTCTGACGTCTCTTGAAAATTCAGGGGCCCTGGCTACCTTAGACTCAGGTTTCCAGTGACAGAGGTTGGCTGGAGTTGAGTAGCATGTGGGTTAGGAGTGCTTTTACCTGCAAGTAACAAAAAACCCAACGAGTGTTGCCTTAATCTGTAGTAATGTTTATTGTATGTTTAACAAGAAGTCTGGACCTCAAGGTTGGTTTAGCAGCGTGAAGACCTTCGAGGGACAGCTTCTCGCCCTTTCTCTCCTTCAGCCTCACCTGTGGGGCATTTTTCACTTACGCTGATGACCTCATGTCCCAAGATGGCTGCCACAACCCCAGGCACAACATCTTTACATGCTGGGGAAGACCTGGGGAAAAAGGGCATGCAAGCAAAAGAAAAGTCTCTCCAAAAGCCCCTTTGCTGAAAACTAGATTGTATCACTTGAAGCTCAGGACACAGGGAAAGCAAGTAGAAAAGCAAGCAAGGTGAAAGGGATTGAGAATGCCTCTTGGGGCAGTCAAGCAGTAGCCCTTCCTGCAATAGAAACTTCCTGCAATTTCCACTTGCCACAATCACAGCCACTCCCTGTTGCTTCCCAGAAGTGAAGCTCTATGTCAGCCTCCATTCATCGTGCCCACACCAACTCCTTCCATCTCCTCCCTCACCTGCCTAACTCACACTCTGCACACCGCCACTGGGTTTGGGCATCTGAGCTTGCTCAACAGGTGTGTGTGGATGCAGAAAACAGTCCCTCTGCCCAGGACTCCTCGCACATCTTATTCACTTTTTCCACCCACTGCTTTCCCCTCCCTCCAGCCATTGTCCATTTCTCCATCCAGGAGGATTGCTTCTCATCCTGCAGAAAATCCTGCAGAAAATCTCTCTCTCTCTCTCTCTCTCTCTCTCACACACACACACACACACACACACAGAGAGAGAGAGAGAGAGAGAGAGAGAGAGAGAGTGAGAGAAACATTATGTCTATAATATTAAAATTTCAGAAGGAGCAGGGGAGTAGGGAGAGAATGTCAAATAGGAAAGAGGGGAAAGGAAGCAATTATTTTAAAAGATTGATAAGCAACGAACTATTTTAAAAGACATCCAAATCAAAAGCCCTGGTTTTTTATTACCAAGTTCAGCAGATACTAGAAGTTAGTTCCTATACACTGGCTCTCGATTCCTGTACTTCTGTGGGATGCATCTCAAGGGGGCTGGGGATAATGTGTTTGCAGGCCGCGGCCTGCAGCCCACACTTCAGCTGCACGGCACATATGAATCAGTGCATTGCTGCAGTGTCTGGAATGATCTAACTCCTTGTGTATCTGTCCACGTGATTGTCTTCTCTTTTTCTTCTCTGAATGTAAACTTCCACCCCATGCACACAGTTAGAGCTGTTCCTGACACAGTACTATTGGATACATCGCCAGGAATTGAATTGTTGAATGAATGAGTGAGTGAGTGAACATCTACTTAAAAACTCTTTTGCTAAGCCAGGCATTAAGAGTCTGCCTTTACTTAAAACCCAAGAAAACCAATCAGCCCAACAATAGCAGTTTCTCATAATGACACAAAAAGTAGTACTGTCTTCAATTAGAAAGGAATATATTTCTTTTTTACCTAAAAGTCCAAACTGGGCCTAGGGGTTAAGTCTCAGCGCTATTACCACTATGGCCTGAGTTCGATCGCCGGCCAGGGAGCTGACCCACACGGTGCAGCAGACCTCTCCTGCCTCCCCGCTGCCCCGTCCAGCAGTATTGTGGTAGATCTGCCTCTTCTGCTCCCCTCTCTGTCTCTGGTGAGTCCTCTCATCCCCCCACCTCTGGCCTACACCCCAGTTTTTTTATGCATAATACATTTAAAATATTTAAATGATTTTTAAAATTTGTTAAAAACTAATAAATTTTTTAAAGTCTTACATAAACGAATAAAAATCCAAACTCATGTGGCGGGTCTGATCCGCCCTGTGGCCAGGTGCAAACTCTGTAGGTCTCGCTGCTCAGTTGTGTGAGCCAAGAGGGCCCCATTCGGGTCCTGCCCTGCCCTTTAAGGGCACAGCCAGAACGTTGCACACATGAACTCCGCCCCTCCTAGAACTCATCACCGACCAGCCACCAGGCAGCTGGGAAGGCGTTGTGCCCATTCTGGTCAGCCGTGTACCCAGCTTGAAAGCAGAAATTATACTAATATGAGAGAGCTGCAGTACTAGATTTTGGGGGACCCCTTGAGAGAGGCAGTTCCCTCCCCTCATCCTCGCCTCCCCAGCCCTTACTACCTTGCTGGGCTTCCCCCCCACCGGGTGGAGGCACAAGTCCATGTTTAACATTCCAGCTCCAGGCGGGTCCTTTGCAAACCACACACTGTGGCACAAGATTTCTGGGGTCACGAGCCCCACCTCCCAGGCCACTCTGGCATGGCCGGGACCTCCCCCTGCCAGGGCGACTGCCTTTGCAGGGCGACTGCGGTTTGTTCAGCTGTCCATTCTTCAAATGACCCTGGGTCACAAAGTAAAAACAAACAAGAGGCTGTTTGGGAGAAAGAATAGCAAGGAAGGAGTCTGTGGCCTGTTTGTTTCGAAGCCCGCCCTAGGGCGTCATGGAGAAGACTGGCATAAAAGAAATGAGAACTCGGGAGAGAATACACTGTCTGCAGGAGTCTTCCAGGGCTGCTGGGTCCTGAGGGCAACAGGTAGAGTTACCATGGCAACCTGGGCCCCAAAAGTGACCTTGAATAGACTAGCCTGGCCTGGACCTTCTGCCAGGCGTGTCTGGGCAGGCCACTGAGGACAGGTTGGGATCCAGCCTGCCACACTGGCGTGGGCCAGTTCTGTGCTCGCGGTTTCTGGGGTTATTCCCCCGGAATGGGGGGTGGGGGCATGTCCAGGGCAACTGTGTCCTGGGCTTCTCTTCCCCTGATTCATTCCGACTCATGCTGCAGAGTCTACAGCTACTAAGGGACAAGGGTGTCTGATTCCAAGCCATCTAATCCAGACAGCAAATAGGAGAGTGGCCCCAGAGGCTGCCCCTAGGGGCTGGGGACCAGGAAGTTGTTGCCCAGTGGCTGGACCTCCAGCTTTGCAAAGTGAAAAAGCCTGGAGGTGTTCGCTGCTGGCCGTTCAGCAGGTGAATGTATTTAATGCCAGCGCTGTCTAACTTAAAACTAAATTTTCTGTTATGGACACTTACTGTTATTTCTTCATTGTTTTTGCTTTTCTCTTTGTTTCTGTTTGTGTGTTTGTGTCAGCAACTAGTATAAGCTCTCCTTCCAAAGTAAATGAGCATAAGTGACTGTCAAATGCCCGATATATTGTATGTATTGTTACGTGTAATTTCCCTTCGTTTCTGTTTCAAACCCCATTCCATATAACAGATGAGCTGTTCTCTAGCTAGTGAACAATACAAATAGCAAAGCAGTCATCCTAGGAAAGCTCCCGGAGAGTCATTAAATGAGGGACGAACTATCACAGAAATGCTTTAGGTCAAGGCAGGGTGTGTAATAACACCTTGCAAATACACAAGAACTTATGACATGAGAACTCTCCAGATAACCCCAACATAATTTTGGAAACCTAGTTATAGAATCCCAGAAACTGATGTGTGCACTATCTCACTTCTTTCTCACCACAATTCTTTGATGAAGTGTTACTTATTTTATTCATAAATGGAGAGAACTGAGCTTCGAAGACATTAGCTAACTCTCCGCAGCCACGGGTTCCTGACTCAGAGACACGCCTTTCGCTGCATCTTTCTCCCCCACGTCCCCCCGGACCGTCAGAAACCCGCCTGAACACTGTTCCTCCTTCCTGCAGGCCCGGCCGGGATGTACCAAGGTGCCAATGGACTGACCAGCACGGCAGGATTTGGAGGTGTGCACCAGGTAGGCACATGCCCCACGGAGCCCCAGCCAGGGCACCCAGAATGCCACTCCCACCCACGGTTTCCCACCCTGGGTTTGGAGACCACGGTGGGAGCAGTCCCAGAGCTTCATGGCCGAGAAATTGGACTTACTAGAATATTTCCAAGATGCCATGTTCCAGCCTGACCAGTGCCGCCCCCCACCCGCTGCTGCTGAATCTGGGTCAGACGAGGGGAAACACACGTGCCCTCTACCTGGCCATGAGCATCTCCAGGGTGAAAGTACACGCTCTTGGCCTCTGCATCCCCGTGTCGGGGAAAGCACACAGTGGGGTTTTGTAGATACCGGCTAAATCCAGCCAAGCCACTGCTGGCTTGGATGCTGACTCGGAGTTCGAGCCTCTCTGGCTCACTTCGAGAGTGAACTAAAAACTGACCTAGTAGCTGAAGGATGCCGAGGACTAAATGGGCATCTTTCTCCGCAGCTGAAATTATTCCCTGGGGAGCGGTTAGGATGCTTTCAGGCAAGCGTTAACCCGACAGAATCTGTGTTGATGCGCTCTAGAAATATTGAACCCATTTAAGTCTGAGGAATGTGCTGCCTCTTCAGCAGACTGAAGTGCCTGAGTGACTCACCCTGGGGTACAGGAACAGTGTTCTGTGTATTTTTTTTTTTTTTTAATTTTCAGGGTTCTAGACACATAGATTAAATAAAAGAGTTCTTGGGTGCGACTCTGTGCACTGGGCGTTTATCCATCTCACAGATGGAGCTTGTCAAAAACACAAACTCTCTAAACACCTCCCAGGAAATCTGGTTCCGTGGGCCTGAGAGGAACCTGGAAACGCCTCTTCCATGAGTTCCTTGCTGGTTGAGAGGCACTGGTCGGCGTGATGGCGGGGCAGGATATTCCAAACAGTTTGCGTCGCGCACAGCGTGAACTGGACGCTCTGGCTGGTTTAAGCAGAACTTGAGCGAGAATTGGCCTTCTGCAGGGTGGTCTGCAGCCCTCCTCACCGAAGATTCTGGATCCCCTCCACCTGGGGTGTGCATGGCCTTTCTTATTCCTTTGCTTGTTCGTTGCTGCCGTCAGTACTGACGGAGGGGCCGTGTGAGCCCCTCATTGTCCCAGATACAGCCGCAGCCAAGACGGGCCCTGTCGCTGCCACCGTGGGCCCCTCCGGGTGCCCCTGCCCACCTCCAGCAGCTTGGCCCTGCCTCTGGAGCCCGGAGTTGTCTGCTTTCCCCGCTCCTTCACCGGCTCACTTCCCTGCTCTCCAACGGGTGTCACCTTTGCCTCCCAAATACGCCACCTGCACCTGAATCCTGTCTCAGGTGCTGCTTCTCAGGAAAGTCCCTGCCCTCACGGAGCCCCTGTGGCAGGAGGGAGGGATAGAGACAGACCCAGCAGACCACGCACGAGGCCCTCCCTGTTGGCCGGCTGAAGGCCCTGCCCACAGGCCTCCTTCCTCACTACCTGTGTCTCCTTGCCAGGACTACCCTTCCTACCCCGGCTTCCCGCAGAGCCAGTACTCCCAGTACTACAGCTCGTCCTACAGCCCTCCCTATGTCCCGGCCAGCGGCATCTGCCCGTCCCCGCTCTCCACGTCCACCTACGTCCTCCAGGAAGCCTCACACAACGTCCCCAGCCAGAGCTCTGAGTCGCTGTCCGGTACGTATGACAATCGTCACCTGTCATGTAGGGCTGGGGGTGAGCTCTTCCACGAAGGAGGAACTGGACATAGGTCCCATCTGGAATGAACTGGCCACACAAGGGCCAGCGCCTGCCCCCAGATGGACTTCACCGGCTCTGTGTGTGTGTATGTGTGTGTGTGTGTGTGTGTCATTGCACCTGTGGAATTTTCACCTAACAGATCTGGTCTGAAAGATCCCCTCCTCTAGGTCCACACTCCTAAGTGACCAGGCTGGCTGAGCTGAGGCGACCGCCCCGTGTAGACAGATGCAGGCCCCTGCCCGCCTGTGCAGGCCCCGGAGTTGGCTCGCCGGGGTCATCAGGAAGCAAGTGTTCGTCACCTTCCCACTCCCCGCCATCAGGAGACCCAACACTCCCGTCTGATCACTCACATACTGATTCAACAAATACTAACTAAGCAGCTGCTGCTTTCCAGGTGGAAAGTACAAGGCGTACTTGATCTAAGAAAGAAAGACTTATAATTACACAATTATAAGTTGTAATAAGGAACGTGTTTTCAGCCGCCCCCTCCCTTCCGGAGAAGACCGTGGCGACCAGCGGGCTAAGTAACCCACTGGCAGCCGCTGGCGGAGCTGGGTTCAGGCCTGGCCCCTGTTACCCACTGACCAGATGCAGCTGCGAGTGTGTCCCCAGGACCACTTGAGAACAGAAAGGCAGAGGCCTTCAAACTGGGGTTCTCCCTTTAAGCGGAACCCTCAGGAATTCTAGAATCCTTCAGACCATCCTTGCGTGGATAACTTGCATAAGGCATTCCGGTTCTAAGAGGCCCTCTTACTCATCGAGATGTTTGGCTTCAAAACATAGAAACTTCAGTTCAAACTCGCTTAAGCCAAAAAAGGCGATCTTAGCCGTCTGCACCAACATGTACAGGGGTTCAGGGCACAGTCAGGGGTTCAGATGAAATATTGGGCTTGGTCGCCTCTTCCTTCTGGCTCTGCATTTTTATGGGCTCACGTCACTCTAAGAGGCTCTTCCCTGCAGTGCCAAAGATGACTGCCAGCTGCTCCAGGCTCCACCCGGCCTGCTAACCCAGAGGCCCTGGCTTCTTCCTCAGCCTCTACAGAGCTCCCCGTTAAGCAGCACTCGCCCAGCTTACGCCACCCGCAAAGTAACTCTGTGGCCAGTGGAGTGGAATGCTGAATGGGGCAGCCACTCATCCCCACAGCCCCAAAAACCGCAGGGAGTGAGCAAAGGGAAGATGGTTTCCCAGAGGAACTCAGTGCATTGTAGCCGCGAGACAGAAGGGACACGCGTGGGCAGAAACAAGATGTCCACAATCCCAGGAAGGCTCCCCTCCCCCGCACACGAGCAAGGTGCAGTAGGATCCCTGCCCCGGCCCCGGCCCCTTAGTGAGGTGTCCGACTCACCATTCATTCATCCCGTAAACCTGCTGTCCATGATGCGTCTTCTCTCTCCTGACCTGGTTTGGACTTAACGTTAAATGGTGTGACAGCAATCAATGAGCAGGTCCAAATGCAAAGTAAATATGATGTTGTCTTTCTTCTTCTTTCCTGAAATCTACTGGCGTTCTGGGTCTTTGTGGAAGCTAAGCCCGCATGGTGGTGTAGGGGCATTCATTTAATGAATGTTGGTTGGTTGGTGATTAGAAAAATGCAGTCGTGAAGACCCACCTCTCTAGTTTCTGGTTCTTGGTGCTGCTGTTCCATGCAGCTTTATATTTTCCATCGCTGTGGGCGTGTTAGTTACCCTGGGCTGGGTGACAAATGTATGATGTGGCTCCTCATTTGCAAGCCAATTTTTGAGAAAATTTAGGGTATAAACATGCTTTTGGTCATTGAGATTTCATCACAGATTTTTGAACAAATACGTAGTACCAACTTGACAAATTCCAGATTTCTTTCTTTGAAGATACACAATGTAAAAAGCATTTTTCTGCCATAATCTAGAAATGTGTTTGGCCATCCTGCTTTTCAGAAGGCGGCTTCTCCAAATTGGTTTCAACCAGAGACACCGCACACACATACACACACACACACAAACTGATAAAAAAAATTAAAGGCAGAAAGGAAATGTAACCAGAATGTCTTCCAGTAGGGGCTGCTATCTATAATTCAGTGGTGAACTAGATTCCAAAGACTTCTTCCCAAGAATGTGGGCTACATGGGAAAGTCATCTTTGTTCCCCATTAGGAGCAAACAGAAAAGCTCATTGTGTCTCTTTGAAATTTGTCTTTATTGTTTCCCCCTGTTCATTTATCCCTCGGTCTGAGGTTCAACAATAAGTGGTGGAGATGGTTTTTACTGTGTGTCTAACAAGCTCACATAAAATCTAATGGCATAAATAATTGTCAGTTATATTCAAGGTCTCTTGCTTCTTTTCCCCAGTGTCTGATACAAAGGAAGGGCACGTGAGCCTCCATGTGAGGGCATACACTCACGCGCACATATCTGTGCACTCTCTTAAAATTTCCCATAAAACTCCACTTTTGAAATTATCCAGGATCTCCTGGAGTGGTTGGTTCCAAGCTCCAGAAACTCAAGAGGGTTATATGTTGCCGGCAGACCATGCTCACACTGCACTACCAGAGTACGGTGTCATGCGGCTCTTCTCCCCGCCCCACGGCAGTACAGTCTGTTGACTGCATTAGCAGTCACATGAAGCCCCAACAATCTGCAGGTGATCAGAGAGCAATTTGCTGATGTAGAGTGCAAATCCTCAGTATCTGACATTCCTCAAGAGAAAACAAACCAGTAGTGGTTGCTTAAGGGCTTTTTTCTTTTAAAAAGTTAAGTATGGTGAATGGCACATGGGTGATTTGGTTATGGGAAGCCCACGGGGATTACAATTGAGATGGGAAAAGGCACAAAATGATGTAAAGATAAACTATTATATTAAAATTAAAAAAGAGGAAGAAAAACATTTAAGTATGATAGAAATTGTCAAAAAAGAAGTTGGAAGTTTTTTTTTTAACTTCTCAAATCATCCCCCTTTTGTCTATGGGAGAATTTTTTTCAAATCTCTCAAGAAAAAAACTTGGAAGATTCTTCCATGCAATTTGGCAACATCTAACAAAATGTAAAATATGTGTGCTCTTTAATCCAACTTTTGTACTTCTAGGAATTTAGCCTAAAGATAAACTTCCATATAGGTACAAAGGCTTAAGTAAAAGTATTTATTACACCACTGTCATGGCCGAAGACTGGAAACAACCTAAATATCCATTAACAGGAGTCAGCTTAAGTAAATTATGCGGTATCTCCCAATGTCATATGTAAACCTGTTAAAAGAGAAAAGAATCACTCTTTGAGTTATTATGATAGGTGAAAATAAAACAAGATGCAAAATTATGTGCATCATATGATCTTGGGTTTTGTTCTGTTTTTTTTTTTTAAGTGTGAGTACAACCCAATACCCATAGTTGCATATGAAATTTTTGGAAGAATACAAAAGCAATGTTTACAGTCACTTCTCTCTAGGAAGGGAACTAAATGAAAAGAAAAGACTAGAAGTAACAACCGATAGATTGCTCTATAGAACAATAGGAAATTAAACATTTTAAGTATACATGAGACACTTCCCAAGATAGACATATTCTGGGCCATAAATCAAATCCCATTATATTTAAAAGGATTCAAAGCATAAAAGTATGTTTGTAAAACCAGTGGATTAAATTAGAAATAAATAATAGAAAAAATCTTGGGAAATACACAAATAGGCTTAGCTAAATAACATATTTCTAAGTAACCCATGTGCCATGGTTAATTTTACCAGACTAGGGGATGCCTAGGTAGCTGGTAAAACATTATTGCCGGGTGTAGCTCCAGAAATAATATGAGGTTGTTTCCAGAAGAGACTGATAATTAAATCAATGGTCTCTTGCTCTTGCTCTCCAAAGGGAAATTTAAAAATATTTTGCACTTAATGAAAATGAAAATACAACATATCAAAATTTATGAATTATTACTAAACCACAACAAAAGGGAAATTTAATTAGCACCAGTTTTTTACATAGAAAAGAAGAAAGATTTCAACCAAAGACATCAACTTCCACCATGAGAAATTAGAAAAAGAGTAAATTCTCCAAGGCGGTAAAATGGACAAAACTCTAGACAGGCTGATTCAGAAAAAAAAAAAGACACAAGTTATCAATAAAATTAGAGCAATAACATCACTACAGAACTTACAGATATTAAAATAGGATAATTGAATTGTATGAACAATATCATGTCAATAAGTTTGACCTTAGATGAAATCAACAAATTCCTTGTAGGATAAAAACTTACTAAATTTATCAAGAATAGATAGCCTAAGCAGGTCTATATCTGTTTTGTTAAGTCGTCCCTCAAAGACATCTCTAGACCCTGATGGCTTCAATAATTAATTCCACCAAACACTTAAATCTACATGAATTTTTCAAGAAAGCAAAGAAGGAACACTTTGAAGTTCATTCTATGAGACCAACATTATCCTAATGCTAAAGCCAAAGACAATATAAAAAAATAGAAAACTAAAGATCAGTAGCTTTAATAAATACAAACACAAAACCTCTAAACAAATGTTAGCAAATTAAGTGCAATTATATCTTCAAAAAGAATGATGCATCACTCTCAAGTGGGGTTAATCTGAAGGATGCAGATTTGAAAATTAATATAATTGCCATATAGCCAGGAAAGCAATATATCACCTCAATAGAGACAAAAAAAGCATTGACAAAATAGAGTATCTACTTCTGGTAAAATTATAAAGTAGGAGTAGAAAGTAACTTTATCAAAAAAAGACATGCAATCGACTAAATGCTGTGTCTCCCCCAAAATTCATGATTGGAGCCCCAGTATCTGATGTGATATTATTTGAAGGTGGAGCTTTAAGGAACTAACTGGGTCCTGGGGATGAAGTCTTCATGAATGGAATTAGTGCCCTTATAAGAAGATACATAAGGGAAATGATAATTCTTTCTCTTTATCAGATACAGCAGGAAAGCATGCATTTGCAAACTATGAAGGGGAGTCTTAAATTGGCCAATACCTTTATCATAGATATCCTAGCTTCCAGACCCATGAAAAAATATCCCTGTTATTTAAACCATGCAGTCTCTGGTATTTTGGATAGAGTGGCCCAAACTAACTAACACATCAGCTACAAAAGTCCTGCTGCTACTCCCAAGATTAAAAACATGGGCATCCACTCTTACCAATTCTGTTCAACATTGTATTATAAATTTATCATCTATACATATAGCCAGAATGTCTTAGGGATACTCAAAACTAACTACTAAGAAAACAACAAACTGGTAAAGCCTACATCACTAAAGAAGATGTAGGAAGGACAAAACACATGGTCAGGATGCTGGCTGTTAGTCATTTGAGAAATACAAATTAAAGCCACAATGGCATGTCACTACACACCCACTAGAATGGCTGTCATCTCAAAGACTAGCCCTGCCAAAGCTTATAAGGACATGAATCTACTAGAATTCTCACGCCCTGCTGGTGGGAATATGAAGTGGTACAACCACTTTGGAAAATGATTTATCCATTTCTTAAAAAGACTGTGTATATGCATTCCAAAGCTGTGTCCTTATAAAGACTGATGCTTGAATGTTCATAGCAACTTTATTCTGAGCCAAAACTAGAATCAAACTATATGTCCCTCTCTGGGTGAACAGATAAACCAATCATGGTTATAACCGTCCATAATCAGCATATAGGAATGAGCTGCTACATTTAACATGGACTGAATCTCAAGCCAATCATGTTGATTAAAAAAAGACAGACCCAGGAAAATATATGTACACACACAGATTGTATGATTCCATTTGTTTAAAATCCTAAAAAATGCAAACTAATCAATGGTGAAAGGAAGCAGATCAGTGGTTGTCTGGGGAGGGGAACAGGAGGAAGAGGCCAGAGAGGGGCCACAGGGGAGCTCTGGGAGGTGTGGATTTGTTCATCTTGACTGTAATGACGGTTTCACTGCTGTGCACATGTGAAAATTGATCAGATTGTGCATTCTAGATCGATGGGTCTAGTGTTTGTCAGGCCTCAGTAAAGCCATTAAGATAAATAAGTTGGAACATTAAAAGGGACTGAGAATAAGAATGAAATAACTCCAAAAAGCCTTCTAGAAATTGCTCTAGGCTGTGTGTCTCTGGCTATGAACTTAAACTTTTTTTTAAAGATTTATTTATTTATGCATACAGAACTGGGGTACAAGCCAGAGGTGCAGCAGTGGTAAAGAGGATCCCCCAGAGACAGAGTGGGGAGCAGAACAGGCAGATGGACAAAGTACATTGCTGATGCTGAAGGGAGCTGTGGGTGAGACAGGGGAGGTCTGCTGTGCCATGTGGGTCACTTCCTGGGCCAGGGATCAAACTCACATTGAAGTGACTGCAGCTAGCTTCGCAGTGCTGCGCTTTAAACCCTTGCATCAGCAGGGAAGGCCCTGTGACCTTGAACTTGGACATCTCATTCTTAAAACTGTCTAAGGTTGGGGAAAAGACTTTTGGTGAGTTGGGGCTTCCCTAATAAACTGGCTTCAGTTCAGCTTATTCAGACCTTTCTCAGGTGAGTGGTGGTTCCCCTTTGTTTAAACTCTGCCTGAGTCGTGATGCCTACAATAAATGTTTTCTAAGCCCCTGTAACCTTAGAATTACTAAGTAAATCAGGATAAAGATCTTCGCATGACTCAGAAGCATCTGTGAATTTTTGACTGCCCTGTCCTCCTGAAGAAAGTCTTTGCTAGATAGATGTTTGGGAAGCTCTAAGCCTGTATCCTGAAAATGTTGGGGAGCTGGAGGCCGCCCAGCAGGCCCGACAACTCAAACTCACGTCTTTTCTTATTATGTCCTTAGTCTGCTAAGAAGTTTTATAAATATTAAATAAACAAACCTAGTCCCTTGGGTTTTGGAGGGAAATAGTCCTTCCAGAGGAGGAAAAAAATCAATCCATTGCCAAGTATTTTTAGACAAAAGCATTTTCCCCCTGACGAGCCAAGAACTGGATTATGGAAGGGGAGAAGGAGCCCACAGCATCCATTTGGGAGCTAAAACCAACAGCTGTGAGATGAGACAGTGGGGGGCGACGGGGCGCATGCCCTAAGGCCCCAGGCCTGCTCAGAGTCTGTCACTCTAGGGAGGAGAGCCGGCTCAGATTCTAGCTCTGGTCCTCCGCTAACATGCAAAATCAACAGTGAGCTTCTAGCACCTTGGGGCTGCAGTTTATTTCCTTAGTGAAATAAACATAATAAAGTCTAACCAGAAACCAAGTCTTTAAAACTTCTGTACTTAAAAAACTACCCAATTTGGACCCTAGATCTGGAACCTAAACCCCAGGAGGGACTTGTCTGGGGTGACCGGACAACCTTCAAAGCTGTGAGCCTAGCTACCTCTCATCACTCCTGTCCCAAACATCCTGTGGTCACTATGAGCCCAGCAGTTTCTGTCCAGCCAGCCCGAACCCAATTCAGATCATAGATGACTCCTCCCCATGCAGGGGGCTTCATGCCTGTATAACCCCACCTAATTAAAGTAGGCACGCCTCTTAAGTAAAAAAAGACTGGTTTTTTTTTTTAAGATTTATTTATTTTTACATACAAGACTTGGATACAGGCCAGAGGTGTGGGGGGTGTGAGGATTCACCAGAGACAGGGTAGAGAACAGAACAGGCAAATTGAAGTACACTGCAGAGGGGAGCAGCAGGTGGGTCAGGAGAGGTCTGCCACGCCCTGTGGGTCACTCCCTGGCCAGGGATCAAACTCGTGCTGCAGTGGCAGCAAACAGTGCTGCGCTTTAACTAAACCC